AAGATTTTGGCTCTGGGACTTTTGGTTGTAAGAGACAGAAATCCCTCTCCACACAGTTTATGTCACAAGTGGAAATTGACTGGCTCACAGAACTGAAAAGTTCACAGGTAGCTCTGGCTTTAGGTGGGTGCTCAAGCCATGTCTTTAGGCCTTGTTCTTTCCCATGGGCTCTCCTCTCCTCTGAGCAGGGCTCATGTTCTGAGAGGCTCTCTAGGAGAAGCTGAGATGCTCGCCAGGAACTCTAGGCTTATATCCCAGCAACTTAATGACTAGAACTTCGTTCTAGTTCCACTAGAACGAAGCCTCTAGCAAAAGTCCAGGGTCTGGTGTTCACTGGTTTGGACTGGCCCAGCTTGGGTCATGTCCACCTCTGAATCCATCACTGGAGCCATGATGGGGAGGGTCAGGCACGCTTATTGGCTGTGTCTGGAGTCAGGACGAGATGAGCCTTCCCTGCACAAGCCTATGCACCAAGAGAGGGGGAGGAGTGGTTCCTCACAGGGCTGTCGTACAACTCCAGGGAGCCCCATCCACAGAGAAAACCATGTACATGGTGCCTCCAAGAGCATGCCTGCTAGTAGGTGCCATTCACATGACCTACAGTATAAATAAACAGTGCTCCATAGCGTCATGTGGTGCGTGATGAGTTTGGTATTAGCAGAAGGATCATATCTGCTTGACTGCTTCTCCCCGAACTCTCCTTTTGTGACCCTCCAAAGTCTGTAGGGTCCTGTTGTTTCTGCTCCAGGTCATGTGGGGACTAGGGTCTGGATCTGATACAAGCTGGACCTTCCTCCCACAGTCTGAGAGAGCACAGTTGCTGGGCTGGTGTAGGGTGTCTGCCATCACTGCCATCTGCAGTCCTGGCTAAGCCTGATAATTGTCTGTCTATTGCTTTTGGAGTGGCAGAGATGAGAATCTTCAGGGAAAGAGCTGGAACACAAGAAGGAGTTTCTCCCTTTCCCCAAGGGGAATTGACGATTGAGGCTGGAAAGGAAAGCATCTCTCTGGAGAATTCTGGGCCTGGAGACCTTTGGCGAAGGGCTGGGTCTCTGCCTTCAGAGGACTGGAGACCTCACTGGGCCATTTTTCTGTAGGCTCTTCATTGGAGATGGGAAGACCCGCCTAATACTAAAGGGACGGTGACTCAAAGCTGATGATGTTCCTGCAGCCCAGACGGGCCACCTCCTGCATTTCCTGCTGGGACAGAAGCCCAGAGGAGCTGCCCACCTCCTTCCCCCTACGTGTGCCTGGCGTCTCAGATGCCAAGTTCTGAGGATGCTCTAGGTTCTCTGAATACCTTCGTGCTCATCAGAGACCCCAGCCTGGGGAGCGCGTTGCCAGCCCTGCCCAGCACCGCAAATCAGAGGGGTTTGAGGGGTTTTTCTTGATCGGGAGACTCCTAGGAGAAGAAGAGCAGTTGGAAGACGTGGCTGTTTACGTTATGAGTTCCTTTCTCCCTCCCGCTTTCTTTCTCCTTTTCCTGGTCCCCGACTCCTCTGTTATAGAAGGGCCTGCTGTGCTCTGCTTCCTTGCTCCCTGAGCTGCCAGTCTAGCTTTGCAATAAATAGTCCAGTATTTCCTTTGGTGTGGACTTGCTTTTTCATTTCAGAAATGAGCACTGCTGGAGAGAAAGCAGAAGTCCGGGTTGGGCCTTAGCCATCTAGAGTCTAGTTATTAGGGGTCTGGCTTAGAGTCCACTGCCAAGGTAGGTACTTAGGATGCAGGCCACCCCAGAGCCCGTCTCTTACTCAGCCAGATCCCTCTCGGAGCTCTGCCAGGAACTGAGTCAGTCTCTGATAACAGACTGTAGGGTCCTGCTGAAATGCCCAACACAGAGTCCAGGGTCTGGGTTAGTGCCCAGTACTACCTAGGACATGGACCAGTCCACTCAGGGCACTCTGCTGGGGGTGAGGTGGGGATGGGGGCAGGCCAGAGCGGCAAGTTTCTCCTGAAGAAATCAATAATGTAGCATAACATAGGTCTGGAGACACAGTGGTCTTTGGATGAGATATGAATATTATGAATAATAACAGGAAATAAAGAAGAAAACGCTCACTGGAGAAAATCACCAGCATGCTTTGAGGCTGCCTGGTGAGAAAGCAGACATGCTACATGCCCAAACAACCAGAGAAGTTTTTGGAGGAAAAGAAATAACAAACAATAGTAACAGCAGTAAACCTAAAAAAGAAAAGAAAGAAGAAAAAGACAAAGGGAGGAAATAATATGAAAACAAAAACCAGAAAAACAAATTAGAACACTTATAAAGAGTGAAAAATATTAAAAGTTACTGTTTCATTTGGCTAAATAAGTAATGAAATAAGGCTTTGGTAAATCTAGTGAGTAACAAAATGGTTATATACACACACACGCGTGCACACACATATATACACCTGTATGCACAAATACAGACACACGGGTGCACACATATGTACAGCTAACATAGATTATTTGTTATGTACTTGGCACTATGCAGACTGCTTTATGTGCATTATCTCATTTACCCCCACAACGACCCTCTGAGACAGCACAGTGGGTTGAATAGTGTCCCCCCAGCATCCACGTTCACCGGGAACCTCGGAATGTGACTATAGGTGGAAATGAGGTCTTGGCAATGTAATTAAGGTAAGAAGCAATCAAGGTAAGATCATGCTGGGTTAGGGCGGGCCCAAAATCCAATGGGAGTCCTTAGAAGAGACAGAGAAGGACACAGAGAGACACTGAGAAGACATGTGGAAGAAGAATGGCACAGAGACTGGAGTCATGGTGTCACATGCCAGGATCAGGAGTCCCCAAGAGCTAGGGGCAAGGAAGGGTTTCCCCTACAGCCTTGGAAGGAGCTTGGTCATGCTGATGCCCTGATTTCTGACTTGTGGCCTCAGAACCGTGGGAGATTAAATTTCGGTTGTTTGAAGTCACCCAGTTTGGGGTAATTTGTGCAGCGGCCCCAGGAAAGTAACACAGACAGGTACTTTGACCCTTCTCACCTTCCAGAGGAACAGATGGAGGACCAAGAGGCGATGTTTCACATTCCCCAGCTGCATTCTTTTTAGTTCTTAAACACAAAAACATTCATTCTCCTCCCTTAAAGTCTAACTGATGTAACTGGTTTATAGGAATTGAAAATCTGTAGCCCTTAAACATTTGTTTTTCCCTTAGAGATTTTAACGTCTCTCATCCAATTCCCAGATGTGAGTCAGTTCACAGACCTAAATGTCTAGGAGTGAACGGAGGCCAGGTCATCTGGGACGACACTGACAGAACACCGCACCTGAGTGTCTGGGCCATGATCTTCACTTCCTCCCAAAAAGCTGTGGCGATTTACTCATGGAAAGCCTAGAACACTTCCAGTGACTCTTCAACATGGACTCTGAGCAGTTGTGATTCTTGAGGATGCTGCGTTCTGTTGTGGCTGGGTGCGTGGAGCAGAGGCTTGGAAAGCCCAGGCGAGAGAGACACATGCGATCTTCCCCAGCTTCAGGTGAATGGCTCTCCAAACCCACCTGGTGGTTCTTCTTATGGTGCCTGCCAGTTTGGCTGGAAATACACCCTCAGCAAGTGGTCGACGCTCCGCTTGCCTCTCTGGCCTGTGGAGTTGACATTGTTAGGGGAACAAGGAAATGGAAGCCACTGGGACTCTTTGAACAAAAACAGTAAACCCAAAGCCATGCTTTCTTTGGGAAAATTTTGAGACTGGTTTAAAAGCACCAGGAAAGGCTGTGGGTGGGGGCCACCCCCAGAACCCATGAGCTTCGTGCATCCAGGGTGAACTCCACACTAGAATCAGAGCTGCTGCTGGGGGCAGTGGCGGAGGCATCCCTCCGAGGGCTGCTGCACGCGGACAGCTGGGGACTCACAAAGGATCCTGGGAGATGTGGGGAGAGCAGGGAGCTGGGATCACACGGAGACTCTCTTTACAAAGCTACTGGGATCTGCTTTTGTGACCTCTTGGATAAGTTCTCTTTTCCTTTAATGGAAAGCCTCCTTCAAATTATGACAAAAACCACGGGAGTCATTTATTTTTGATGTTTATTTCACAGACAAGTTTTCAAGTGGACATCTAAGTGAACGTGAGTACGAGACAATGAAAAGACATACATTTATACGTGGAATGCACTCAGAGGCGAAAGCTAACAGCTGCACAAGCTGCTCACACACGCCCTGCATTTGGGGCTTCCCCAGCTCCTTCCTAGCGGAGTCTCGTCCGTCACTGGGCACCGGATCTCGCATATGGGTTTTCTTCCCTCCAGCTGCTTGCCATCGGCTACCAAGGAGCTCCAGGGGCTGCCTGCGGGTGAACAGGAGTGATGTGTCCTTTCTCCTCACTGTGCAAGCTCCTGGGCTGCTCACGGCCTCCCTCTTCCTAAAGTATGAAGTGGGTTCAGTATGGCCTGGATGCCGCCTGCCACAGCGGACCAGGCTGGCTACCTGGTCTTACAACCTGCAGCCTCACTAAACATTAGAGCCAGAGCAGTCTTGGCAATCAAGTTCAGCATCTCTCCAGATAAGGAACACCAGCCCAGAGAGGCTGAGGTTTGTCAAACAATGCTCAGTAAGCGAGAGCGACGAGACTGAAATGCATCCTTTTCAGCTTCTGGTCTAATGCTCACTCCCCTGGGGCAGGCTGCCCAGAGAGGTTTAAACATATGTGTGAAGTTTCCTTTTTTAAAGATTTATGGACAAGTAAGGTTGTATGTATAATAAAATCACTGGTAGGAACTGGAGGTATTTGTGGGGGTAACAAAGCAAGTGCAGGCAAGGAATACAAGCCAGTCTCCAAATGCCTTAGATAAGATGTCAGAGAATAAAATGTCCAGTTGTTCATACTGCTTTTAAAAAATAGGATTTGGGGTAATTTTCAAAGAAATCAGATGGGATTAAACAAACAGAGGTTTTAGGTAGTTGGTTGAGGTGGCTTGTATGTTTTCTTGAGCTTTCCAGCAGTCAGAACAAAGAGAAAAAAGCAGTAAGTTATAAAAATCACAGTGTTTGTAAATCCGTTTTTTTTTTTTTTTCCTGTTTAGGGTCAGAGCTTTCCCTGGTACTGAGACCCAGAAAAAAAAAAAAACCTTTTCCTATGGATCTTCATAAAGGCAATGCTATGTGATATAAAAGATACATTATTCATTTTGACTTTCATGCTCCAGTTGAGAAAAGACAAGATGCAAGTCGTCTTGGTCTAAGCTGGTGGGCAGGACCTTCTATTTCTCGGCACAGAGACAGAGTTCGTGAAGGCAATGTAACCCATGTCTAGAAACATCGGCAGGGGGACTTGGGTTCTACCTCTGTGGAGCCCCAGACAAATGAAGCTCACACAGACTCGGTCTGCCCCACCTGAGATGGAATGGGTCCTGCACTGTTCCTGCCATTAGGGACATTGGGGACGCAGAGGTATACAGTTCAAGGCAATTCAGAAAAATGCTTTTGTAGGTGGTAGTGATTTTCTCACAGTGGAGTCACCGACATTTTGCAAGTGGCACGAAAGTAACTGGCATTAATTACCTTTGCTGCAATGCCTCCTCTGTCGTACTGCCAGGTCCTTGAGCACGGGCACCATGTCTTTATGTTCACATCCCCTTACTGTGTCTGGAACACGGCCTTACACGGAACAGTACTTAATACTTAGGAATAAATCATCTACTTTCCTGAATCATGCTTCCATATAATTATCAATCCTGTGTATGTATTACTACATGGTGATTTCTATTCATGGGCATCTTCTCTAGGGCTGGATTTTCAGAACATCTACACGATACAAGCACACGCCCATGGGCACCACACGCATCTCACTGTGCTAGGCGCACTAATGACATAACACTGCACTTAACCATTAGAAGTCTATAATTCAGACCACACGCAGGAACACAACCTACTGAGGTGTGAACAGTCGTAACATCTTCAACAAATATAAATCACGAACGTGTATCAACGTGTACCTGAGTCACCTGCCTTCCAGCAGGCCACACCCTATTCTGGCACCATGAATTGGATTTCTTTCTACACTGCCTACCCTCCTCGGAACTCTGCGGAATAGGCTTCAAAAGATTCAAAGGTACTCAAAGGAAAAATATGATCTCCAGAGGGTTTTAAATAAGAGAACATCTGACAAAGGAGGAGAGAGGTCAGATCAGAAGAATCTTCACACAGCCCTGACTCTGGCTGTCCTTCCACCAAACTCAGGACTTCCCCTCCCCAAAGCAAAGCTGCCCCAGGTTACCTATGTAGTAATGGTATAAATGTCACTGGCCTCGTCCTGGAGCAATCAGCCTTGGAAAAACAGATTCCGTGATTTTATCTGTAACTTCCAGAAATGAATTAATTACCTCCCTGCTTTTCCCCTCCCCATTTTGACTCTTCCTTCAATACCTGTTGGGTTAATGCTAGGGGATTATCGAAGAGATTTTTAGACAAATAGGTAAATGAGGAAAACGACAAGTGTTCTAGATTAGAAGTTTCTGTAAATCCATTTTTACTCAGTAAGCTAAGGAAGCTATAGAGTTATATAAATTACTCTGGGCTCTACAATCAGGTTGATGATCCTATGAATGGGGACCAACTACAAGGCTCGGAGAAGGATGATGTATTTAACAAACAGCCCCGGAGGTGGTGGTCTGAATGAGGGGGCTATCTGATCTAGAGCAGGCCTAGATCTGACTGGTCTTAGAAACAGTGTAGGTGTCTGGTTTCTACCGCACTTCTTCCCTACTTCCTTAATGTTTGAGAAAACTATTATTACGGAACATTATACTAAATGTTGGGTAGGAAGGCATAAAATATGCCAACATGCCAGTCATGTTCTAGGGAAGAACCAGAAGAGCGGTAGGGTAGAACGTGTTTGAGTTGATTCTACTTTATTTTAATGAGACACACCACGGGCATGCATCCTATTTAATCTGGAGAGGGCCTGGTAGTTCAGGAGAGTCAGATGAGAGCACCCAAAACACCTAAGAGGTAAGTGTAGGACTTACAAGAAATGGTAAGAATTGAATTATTTAGGGGCTGGAGAAGCAGTAGCCAAGAAGGTTTCGGTCCAGAGAAGGTCAGCACGATGGGTAATCAGTTGTTTCTCATCTCTATGGAGGGCCAGGCAAACCACATTTGGTTTCAGTGACAATACAGGGACTCCACCCTAGCTGTGGGAATCAACTTGACACAAAAGTGTATCGTGCAACAGACTTCTCAAGGAAGCTGTAAAATCTCATTGTCCCTTGTATCTTCAAAGCCAAGATGCATGTGGTGTCGTCCTGATCAGACCCTGAAAGTTCTACCCCCACAAGAAATCTGGGATTGAGCTGCATCCGGGTTCCCATGTGGTGGACAACAGGAAACTTTCAGCATGTTGGGTCTTCTTGAAAACAACTTTCAGCTACGTGGAGGGACCTTGAATGTGGCTGGACTTGGCAGTCCTATGGCAGAGGCATTGACATACCAAAGGGACTGTCATTCTGAACCCAGACAGGATGTCTTCTTCACCTTGCTAAGGGAGAAGTTGAGAGGAATAGACTGGTCAAGTTAGAGGCGGAGGTGAGAGTACGAGGCGGGCTCCTAGTTTATTTGTATTTTCAAGCTTGTCTTGGGAATTATACTTCATAGCTAGGAAAAGACTGCTTCCAAGGATGAGGCTGGGGTAAAATGGCTAATGGGGCACGTAGGAGAAGAGGTCAACGTCAAAAAGTTTTCCTGAATTCATCAGTCTTTCCCTTAGGCAGGTTCTCTGGGGAATATGTGGATGGTGGGTACGGCAGAAGCTTTTCTCTGGAATGAACTTCCCGGTGTTTGATGAGGACAGAACTCTTACTGAAACGTTTGCCACACTGGGCACAGCCATAGGGCTTCTCTCCAGTGTGTGTCCTCCGATGCTCTCGAAATCTTGTACAGTTATTGAAACTTTTCTCGCAATCCACACATTTGTAGGGGTTCTCGCCCGTGTGGACCCTGCGGTGGGCGCTGAAATGGGAGCTGTTGGTAAAGCTCTTCCCACACTCCCCACACTGATAGGGCTTCTCTCCAGTATGGGTTCTCTGATGTATGATAAGACTTGAGCTCTGACTAAAGCATTTTCCACATTCCCCACACCTGTAGGGTTTCTCCCCAGTATGGATTCTCTGGTGGGCACCGAAGTTGGAGGAGTCATTAAAGCTTTTCCCACAGTCAAGACATTTAAAAGGTTTTTCTCCAGTGTGGATTCTTTGATGTCTGATTAGGCTCCTGCTTCTACCAAAGCACTTCCCACAGACACTGCATTTATAAGGATTTTCCTTCTGGTGGGACATCCGGCACATCAGACGAGCATTCCTTCCAAAGCTTTCTCCGTATTTGAGCAACCGGTAGGGTCTCTTCCCCATGAAAGGCCTCAGATGCCCTACAGCTTTCCCTAAATCTCTTGACTGAGATGTCAGCTTTCCCTGTCTGATGCCTTGGAGGGTTTCCCATTGACTTCCTGAGATGCATTCCCTTTTACGGTATTTACCTGGATCAGCGTTCTGGGAAACGACCCTTTTAGACTTTTCTATTAATGCCCTATGCTGCTCCACGTCCTTATATATTACCTGTGTTGTATCCTCCTTGATACCTCCTCCAATTTCAAAATCTGTAAAAAAAAAAAAAAAAGACGATAAAAATTCCAGACCAGTCCTGTATCAACATAGACAACATAGCCAACAAGGCTTTGTGTGTTGGGATGCCTGTGTACTTCTCTGGCCTCTCGGGTCCTGTTACCATTCTCTGATTCATTGTCTCTTCTTTTCATTCAGTGCCACGAACAGCCAGTAACACCTTGTACATAGTAGGCCTTCAGAAATGTTTTCTGAATGGAACTAAAATCCAAGCTGTTATTCCCCATCCAGACCCTGAGTAACAGGGGGCCAACTTAGCTCTCTCGCTGAAGTTCTTCTCCCACTCACCCTGCTTTCAAAATTTCACATCTGTGCCACAGTACACTGTCCCGGTGTTCATAGCAGATTCTAGTGATCAGGTTCCAATTCCTCAATGACTTCTAAGTTCATCAGTATCTGATCATATTCTACCCAAGGCTATTTCCTCCTTCTCCTCACATGTTCTTGGCCCTGTTTTATCCAGCTATGTCACACACAGACCTGGATTCAACTTAACCCTCACCATTCCCCACACTGGAATTACCCTCTCCTCACTCTCATCTACGTCCCATGCTCACTGCAAAGTGCATACTGGATGCCAGCTTTTCTAGGAGGTCTTCTAGACTGACAGGCTTTGGAACCACAGAGCTCTGGTTCTGATTCCATCCTGGTCACTGTGGTTTTGTATAAACTTTTTATTATGTAAAATTCAAACATACAGAAAAGCTGAGACTATAGTATGTAAAATGAATTTCCACGAACCACTCACCCCGCTTTAGTGATGATCTCTTCGTGGCCAATCTAGTCTCATCTCTATTCCCACCCACTTTCTGCTCCCTCTACCCAGATTATTTTGAATAAAGTTCTCAACATTGTATTATTTCATCCAGGTCTGTCTGATCCCCAAACCCTGTTCTTTTTTTTTTTTTTTTTTAAGATTTTTTATTTATTTGACAGACAAAGATCACAAGTAGGCAGAGAGGCAGGCAGAGAGATAGGAGGAAGCAGGCTCCCCGCGGAGCAGAGAGCCCGATGCGGGGCTCGATCCCAGGACCCTGGGATCATGACCAAGCCGAAGGCAGAGGCTCCAACCCACTGAGCCACCCAGGCGGCCCCCAAACCCTGTTCTTAAGCATTTTGCTATGCTGCCTTGTTTCTACTTGCTAGTTTTAACATTCCTGTCCTTGCATACACTGAGTTAAAATTGCTGATATCCCTCCGCCCTCCCAACCCAAGTAGGGTGGCTGTGGTGTGGGTTGGGGAGAGGAGGGCAGCCATCAATCAGTCCATTAAGTTAAATGAAAGTCCCAACAATGCCATCTTTCATTTAGCAGTTCTTTTGAAGAGTTCTTTGGGTCCAACATTGTCCTGGGATTTGAAGGAAGTCACAGCCTTGTGGTTGGCTCAGATAGAGTCTGAAAATTTAGTGACAGGTCTGCAGCTTGATTTATAAAATGAGACTCACAAGGGATGGTACCAAAAGACTTTGTTTCCAGGAGTCAAAACCTGGGTTATACAGGACTTAACAATTTCAGCCTTCAAACCACGATTTCTCATATGAACACTAGCAGAAAGCACATGTAGGCTCCTTCTCTAGTGTTTGTTTTGAGTGAGCAGACAGTGCAGAAGGAAACCGTTACAGGTAAGGACAGAAAGATAAGATGAGCTCAGACCAAGGATGGCTGTGGAACCTTAATACAAGACTGATGGGGAAACCTGGTTTGGAGACTTTTACAAAAGTCTAGACAAGAGAAAGAAAGGCTATACTTCTCTCACCACAGGTAGTGGCTGTGGTGACTAACGAGGGGACAGATGGAAGCTCTACAACAGCTGAGAAAAATGTGTTCTCTGCTTGGATGTAAATAATCAGAGAGAAAGCATCAAAAACGTCTCTAAAGTTTTAAGTCTGGATGTGGAGGACACAGGGAAGAGCCAAGGTACAGGAAGGAAGACCGTGATTTTAGTTGTGAAATTTTAAGTCTGGGCTGCTGTGGGGACAGATGCCCATGAGGGCACCAGCAGTCTGCTGGAAACGCGCAGTCAAGTCTCTCTCTCATTTTGCCTCTGTCTTTTTCAGATGATATGAAACACTGACCCATACAGACAAAAACCGAGGCTGAGATCCCAAGGACTGAATCACTAGAACGTCAGCAACTTCCTTGAATAGAAGCACCATGAGAAAGACACTTTGTTTTATTCACTGCTAGATCCCCCATTCCTCACACAGCACAGGCTCCTCAAACACCTGTTTAAGGAATAAATACTCATGGGCGATACACAGAGAGTTACTGATTCTTCAGTAAATCACCCTTCCCCCTCGATGGTCCTTACCATTTGGGCTTTGCAGCAGACCTGGAGGCACCTGGAACTCTGACTCTTGCACAATGTCCTCTTCACTCATTCTCTCACTGCCAGAATCTTCTACCATCGCCTCTTGGGAGGTCTCCTCAGGTTCCCAGCCTGTAGGTTCCTGGGGTTCAATTTCAGTATCCTCTCCTTCTTGCCCTGAGGGTGACGGGATTTCTTCTGGAGTGCTGGCGGAAGGGGCAGGGGCCCGAGCGTTAATCAGGGCATCCATCTCCTTGTAGAACGCACAGGACTCCAGCACGTGACCATTTTTCACCTTGCGGTAGCTCTTCTGGAGGCTTTTGAACTTGGTCCGGCACTGTTCCGGCGTCCGGAGGAAGCCACACTCCCGCAGTTGTTCTGCCACGGCGCCATACAGCTTGCTCTTCCGATGACAGGCTTGGAGGGCTTCATAAAACCGAGTCTCACGGAGGATATCAAGAAAAGTTTTGGTTTCCTCGTACCCCCAGTGCACACCTGCCATGGAAAGATAAAGTGCAAAGACATAAGACATAAGCAGCCTCGAAACATAAGGGGTAAAAGAAAACAGATCCCCTTCGTGGTGGCAACAGGAACCATGACCTGCCGGGGGAGAAGATGTGCAAAAAATGAGAGGGTCTATATAAAAATATCTGTAATTTACTGGAAGACATAAATTAACTAGAAAAAATGGAGAGACACTATGTTTCTGGATAGGAAGACTCAAGTAGTACAGATTCAGTTCTCAAATAAATCTATAAAGTCAATATCCTAATAGGATTTATAAATTGAAATTTTTAACCTAATCTCAAAGTTTATTTGGTAGAGTAAGAACGTAGTCCCTCAGATCTGCCACTGCTATGGCGATTAGCCAAGGATACACAGGTCTTTTCTAAATGGTTAAAAATAACAGACTAGGACACTTTTTTAACAGTCTTCTTTGAAGAGCAGAACTACATCTAGAGTCATTTTTGATGTCACTGAGTCCTCTACTGTAAGAGATGAAATGACTTGCAAAATAAGCAGATGTTCTGCGTCTATGGCAGAATCAAACTTTTCAGGACATGTCTGAGTAGTTTGTTAAACCATGTTTTTGTCTGTTTTGTAAGTAGGAAGAAGTCACTTCTACCCTCAGTCTTACCCCGTGCTCTCCTCCAGGCCTAGCTTGGGACCATCCTCCTGTCTATGGATTTCCAGATTGGGGAGCACCTGTCCATGCACGATGTATCTTCCCTGTGTTTTCCTGATCTATTTCTTTTGAATAGATACAGTCATGAGTGGACCCCCAGCTCTCCTAGCCTGATTTATTTTTCCACTCTAAGAACTTACCATCTTTTAAAAAAGATTATTATTAGATATAACTTATAATATTATAAATTATATTATAATATAATTATATTTACATATAACTACATATAAAATTATATTATATGTAATATATATCTTATATATAATGTATATATGTATATACGTACATATATATGTAATATGTATTTCATATATTACATATAATATATAAGCAATTACATTTATAATATATTATAATTAATTATAAATTATATATAATATTAATATAAAATTCATAACAATAAATTTATTATTTATTATTATTAGAGAGAGAAATAGAGCATGAATGGGGGCCAGAGGGAGTGGAAGAAGCAGACTCCCTGCTGAGCAGGAGCCCAATGTGGGGCTTGATCCCAGGACCCTGGGATCATGACCTGAGCAGAAGGCGGACACTTAATTGACTGAACCACCCAGAAGCCCCTAGAACTTACCATCTTTTCCCAAGGTAGAGTGGAGAAACTTTCCTAATAATAGTGACACCTGGCTATGTCTCATTGAATTTCACCAGAATAAAGTCTCTCTTTCTCATTTTGCCTCTGCCTATCCTTTTTTTCATGCATATCACAAAGAACTGAGATGTCTGTGTTTAACATCTGCAGAATGCTTTCCTCAATTTTTATCTATTACTTCATTTAACACTAATGATCCTGGAATCCTGTCACGTTTTACTGATGAGAAAACTGAACTTCAGAGTACATACAGGATGTGTCTACTGTCACCCAGTTGTTAACTGCTGGGTTAGTTCTTTCTGCATGTCCCCAATTTCGACATAAGCTTTTGTTCATATTGTATGTGGTATATCTTTTTCCATCTTTTAATTTCAAGGTCTCTGTGTCTTATACTTCACACATATCTCTTATAAGCAATATTTCATTTTTTTTAATGATTGATCGTCTTTTAAGTTTGTAACTAAGGACATATTTGGATATATGTCTACCATCTTACTGTGTTTTCCGTTAGACTCATCTACTTTGTGTTCCTTTTTGTTTCCTTTCTTGTCTTCTACAATTACAATTTTTTACTTTCTTCAGCTATACAGTCTTTTACTGGTCATCCTAGATAGTATAACAATGTATCTTTGCCTTATTATAATTCAACACACCTGGCTGGTTTCTACCAATCCTCAGATGAAGCCTCTCCAGAGTCCTTTGACTTTATTTATCTTCCTTCCACAGGCTCCAAATACTCAAATCCATGCTGTGCTCTAGCCCAAGAAAGAACTGTCACAGCCACTGCTCAGACTGCGCCAGGGGCAGCAGCAAACACCTGAGAGTACGTTCAGTGATCAGTGGCAAGGTGCTTATGGCAGCACTCCCCAAATTTGGCTGCCTCTGGTCTACTTATTCTATTTACTACAAGCCCATATAATCCATTTTCATACCCAAAGGAAAGAGCGCAATTCTTACCACTCAGGTTCTGAAACAAGACAGGGGCACCACGAATCTCAGACTTCCGGATAAATTCAACGCCCATTTCATCACCATCAGATTCTTCTGTGGCATCTTCCTCCTCCACCAAACTGATCCGTTCTTTAGCACCGATATCAACTCTCTTTAGTCTGGGGAGAGAGAGAATCTCCTTTGTCTTATCAGCAGATGAAGCATGGGCTGCAGGGTTCAACAGAGCGTCCATGTCCTCAAAGAAGGCACAGGGTTCCAGCACATGGCCATTTCTCACCTTCCGATAGCTCTTCTGGAGGCTTTTGAACTTGGTGCGACACTGTTCTGGCGTTCGGAGGAAGCCACACTCACGGAGCCACTCAGCCACAGCCCCGTACACTTGGCTGTTTCGGGGACAAGCCTGCAGCGTCTCATAAAAGCGAGACTCCTTGAGAATGGCAAGGAAAGTCTTTGTTTCCTCATAGCTCCAATGCACGCCCGCTATCTTCTCATCTTCTAAACCCCAGTGCTGCTGTTCGCCCCACATTCTCCCCGCACTGCGCGCAGGGATCTGAGCCGTGTGAACTGGCTTCTCCTTGATGTGGTTGCTCCGTAGAATAATATTCCTTTTGTTAGAAGAGTGCAGACCCAGGGTCCATGGCTCCTTTCTTTGCTCCATCTGGGCAATCTTGTTAGACACAGACACAGTACTTCCTACAAGAGAAACACATTTCATGCTAAACCAGAGGTCAGAGCTGCGTGCCCTCATCTGTGGCTTTAGCAGGCCCTCCTGGACACTTGTCCACGCCTATCCTCAAAACGTTTTGTCCCCTCTCTTCTAGAGACTTCCTCAACCATGACAGAGCACAGCACAGTCATTCTTACTACCTATGGTATAGTTATAGTTACCCTTACACCTCTCTTCTTTGGCACAATCATCTACTAACTTACATTATCAGGTTACTTCTCATATATATACCATTTCTTTCTCTGGCTAGTTCTTAAGGGAAAACCTTTAAGGGTAAGAAACATACATTCTATTACCTTTGATTCCCTCTCAGTGTCTAACATTGTGCAGGGTTCAGCATCTGCTATAACCAGTATTTGTTACTCATGGAACCAAGTGTGCTCATACTGGTGCCCACATACTCCCACCCCCACCCCAACATATGCATGTACACGCGCGCGCGCGAACACACACACACACACACACACACACACACTGGGGCTAGGAGAGATACATCAAGAATTTGGGGATATGTGTGGCAAGGTTAATAGGAAAGAGATGGAAGGAGAAGAAAGCACACAGATAGCTTGTTGCCTTGCCTCATGGTGCTGTGGAGATCAACATGTCTTAAATGTGAACCCTGACCCCAGTAAAACCTGCTTTACTTTTGGACCAGAGGGAAGTTTCTTAATCTCTGAGCTTCGGTTGCCTAGGGAATGCTGGCCCTTATTCCCAGAAATGCTGGGAATATTAAATAAATGATCATCTGTAAAGTATCTAACACCCAATAGGTATGTAATAAAATTTGGTTTTCTTCTAGATAACACAAACAGAAACTTCACAGAACTGTCGAGAGAAGAAGCATCACATCAAAAAAAATCCTTTCTGAAAGAACCCTGGGGATGGAGATTTGCTGTTTATTTTTAGATGAGAGAGGTAAGTGTAGGATTAATGAAAGCTTGAATATCTATAAAGGCCAGGCCGACAGTGAGAAGGCGGGCCCATGGTGTCTGACATTTGATTTTTCAAGAGATACAGGATATCCAGATTTACAAATTAAGAGCAAATTAAAATGCTGTTCAAGGCCAAAATATGTGTATAGGCTAGACTGAGCCCATAAGCCATTAGTTTACAACCTATGATAAAGGATTGGGGCAGGTATCTCTGGTCTGGGTCTTTCTACATGTCATCACAGTTGACCCTTGAACAAAGGCGGGGCTAGGCAACCAAGCCTATACAGTCAAAAATCCATGTACAACTTCTGACTCCCCCAAAACTTAACTACAAATAGCCTACTATTGACTGGAAGCCTTACTGACAACATAGTCCACTAACATGTATTTTGTGTATTATATATAATTACATACTGTATTCCAATAATAAAGCAAATTAGAGAAAAGAAAATGTTATTTAAAAAGTCATAAGGGAGAGAAAATATATTCACAGTTTTATACGTATTTACTGGAAAAAAAAATCCATGTAGAAATGGACCTACGCAGTTCAGACCGTCTTGTTCAAGACTGTACATGTGAAGGTGCTGGGCTATATCTGAATCCTCCAAGGGTGATCTCCATCCCACTAGAGGGATCTCACACTTGACTCAGGACTCTCAGGCAGCACGCTGCTAGGTCTGGGTGCCGTGTAAACTGGGTGCCGTGTAAACTGCTAGGTCTGGGTGCCGTGTAAACACGCTAGGAAGCGCCTGTGTGTGCAACCCAGGCAGACAGCTGGGATGCCTGCTGCTCTGGGATGGCTGCCTTGCTACCACTGTGTCATCAGTGCCACCCTACATTGGTCATTGTTTTTAGTTGCCTTAATTGCTTTCTAATTATAAATAATCCTTTATTTGCTGAGTTGGCACAGCCTGTTTTATAATCTCTATACTTTAGTATCTACACATAGTGTTGTCCAACAGAACTTTCTGGGATGACAGCAATGTTCTGTAATTATGCTGTTCAATACAGCTCTCAAATATCCTGACGGTGGCTACAGCCACTGAGGAACTGAATTTTTAACTTATTTAATTTTAATTAATTGTATAAAATTAAATTGCCCTGTGTGGCTAGTGGCTACCCTATTAGCACATGTCTATAGCCTCTCTAATGTGGGTTAGTACACATTTTAGGCCTGTAATTTTTTCTTTCTTTTTTTTTTTTAAAGATTTTATTTATTTGACAGAGATCATAAGTAGGCAGAGAGGCAGGCAGAGAGAAAGAGGGGGAAACAGGCTCCCCGCCGAGCAGAGAGCCCGATGTGGGGCTCGATCCCAGGACCCTGGGATCATGACCTGAGCTGAAGGCAGAGGCTTAACCCACTGAGCCACCCAGGTGCCCCTAGGTGTGTAATTTTATTAATAAGCAGTCTTCAACTTTTAGCTTATGTATGAATGAACTATACTTATGTCCACTACTAATGCAGTGACAAATCCTTCAGAAATTTGCCTGTAAAGTGATACAACAGTGGTTATGTGTGCCTGTGATTTTGGGCTATTTAAATTATTCACAACACACTACCAAGATTACTGTATTGAAATTATCTTTTTCCTTCCATCTGTAAGATTTCTATCCATTCAACAATTATTTGCTGCTGTAAGATTTCTATCCATTCAACAATTATTTGCTGGCCCTCCACCCATGCATCTAGCTGTATGCAAAGTGTTGGGTTACTGCAGTTAAACAAGGGCATATCATCAAAGACCTTGTGACTTTACAGAGCTTTTAGTCTAATGGGTATGTGTAAGCTTATATTTAAGTAGTACGAACGTGAAAGTTGTATATAACACCTCGCCAATGTTTTCATCCCTAAGTTAGGAGAATACGTATGTATTTTAAACTGGAAGAAAGGAAGGAATGAGGAAGAGAGCATAGACAAGTGATTACTAGGTCTGGTGAGCTGGCCACAGAAATGACTAGACAATCCACCAAGGTCCTTTAGGTGTTGACAGTTATAACTATTGTATCATCAGTAGAAATAAAGATATCAAAAATCCCCAAATTTTTTATGTGAAAACGGAAAGAATCCTTACCCAGGGAGACCATGTTCCCAACACTCTCTTTCCTAATATCCCGGTACAGGTCTCTGTGAGCGGGAATCTGATGTATGCTCTTTTTGTAGGAAAAACCTCTCGCCATGTGGACATCTTTCACTGGTCCCTGTAACAACACTAACAGCAATGACTACCAAGATAACCATACGGGTCTTCAAAGGATAAATGATCATGGAGGAAACAAAGAAGGGCCCCAAAGAAGAATTAAAATCAGGAAACCAAGTGTGTATGATGTGCCAAATGAAGCAGAAGATATAAAGAATCATATCCAGCAAGGAGTCTCATTTAATCAGAAGTCTGGGTCCCAATCTTCTCTGTAAAAGGAGTCAAGGGGGAATAGGCTCTTGGAGGACTATAAACGTTTGAAGACAGTGAAGGCACAGGAAATCGTTGGGACTGCATACCCTAGGAAGGCAGACAGAAGATTTGTAATGTACCTGAGACACAACAGGTAGTCGTGTGGTTGTTACTTCTTGATCCATGTTGTTCCATTCATTAGCAGGAGCAAGAACCCAGGGAGAAGGCCGAGCTGTAAGAAGAGAAAGAAACAATCAGGGTTCTGGGTTCTGGGCTCTGGACCTTTAATTCATGCAGCCTCTCCTTTTAAGAAATGAAGATGCATAAAAAAAAACCCAACAAGTATAAATTGATCATTTCATCAATGAGTTCAGAACAATGCCTGAACCATGGTACCCTGAAGCAGAGCTCACATGTGTGAATGCTTTTAGGGAGTTAGCAGACAAAGTGCATTATGAAGGGGGCCAGGTAAGGAATGGGGGAACTGGAGAGCACATACACCACTGAAAGGGTATATAGCCAATGCCCACTTCCACTTAATGCTTCATTGGGAAACACTGGGCCTGCTATTGTTAGAGCTTCTCATATTTTCAGGAGAAGCCAGAAATCTGGACTTTTGTATAAAATCTCAAAAATTTTAAACCCTGAGAACTCCAAACGAACAAATGATAAAACCCCAAACAAAAACCCTCTGTAGGTAAAACACAACAAGTCTGACTTGACATGTGAGTTATCCGTTTGCAATCCCTAGTATGAGTTGATCAATTCTTTAATATGCTGAAGAAGTTAACACACATAGATACATAGTCCTGAACACACAAGCAAATACATAGTACACTCCCTCAAAAGGTAGGAGGAAGATATATACACATACATATAGCACAGTCTGCGGTCTAACTTCTACTCTGGAACTCGCAATCTAGGGAAAACTTCCAGAATGAATATTACTGTGATCAAGAACTCAAGAGCTTGCTCCACTACTTTCTAAAGAAGCAAACTGAATCACTTCCCTGGAAATGTATTACAGATATCCCCTGCTTTTCAAAAGTTCCTGTTATGCCACTTTGTTTTTATAAAAGGCATACATTAGTAACTATATTTGCTAACTAAAAGAAATCCAAAAAAGGATTTTCACGTTTGCAAAAAAAAAAAAAAAAGAAAGAAAAAAGAAAAAAAAAAAGGTAAAAAGAGCAGATACTATTCAGTGTCTGCTTCTTAGTGAGCTGTTACGGAGACGGGGGAGTGGCACGGCTACAGTGGCCCTGTCCCGCTAAGCACCTCAACAGAACACACTTTTCCACATTGTGAATGCCTTGTCACCCTGGGATGGAGAAATCCAGAAACACCATACATTTATTGGACTAAGCTTATTAGCTACAGTAACTGAGAGCATGTAATCCAGGGGAACTCTGAAATCCAGAAAACACCTGGATTTAATCTTTGTAATGATTTCTATCACAATATGAATTTCAGGAAAGATAAGGAGGTTGAGTACACAGCAGTAAATCCTGCCACTTGGTGAGGGGTGTGTAAAATCTGAGATTTGAAGTTTAAAAATAATTGTGCCATTATGGGAGAAAGGGAACTAACATTTATTGACACTATATGTACTGGTCTCTTTACGCACTTCTTTTAACCTACATTAACACCCTTATTATTTTCCTTTTACGATTTCCATTTACAAATGGCAGAACAGGAAGTTTGAGAAATAACCTGACCAAGGCCACAGAGAAAATGGATGGTGGAGCTAAGTTTTGTGTCCTGGTTGTCTGCCTAATCACTTAACCTCTGTGCGTTAATGCTCCTTTCCCTATTACTTGCCCAAGGACAGATAGAGATACAGAGACAAAAAGATATGAACCCAAGCCTTCCATTGTAGGTTCAGTGATCTTCCCATCCCTCTCTCTCAGCCTGACATGAGACTGGGGTCATAGAGATCACAGTGCCCCAGGTGTTCAATTTCCTCCTACATGACTTATTAATGTCCAGGGCAGCAAGGAAGCCTGTGCTCCCTCCTCTATGAAATCTTTTTGTTTACAGCTCTCATATGCTACTTCTGTGATGTCTCACTTGGGAGTCAATTTTTTAAAGTAAATATTTTGGGGCACCTGGGTGGCTCAGTTGGTTAAGTGCCTACCTTTGGCTCAAGTCATGATCTCAAGGTCCTGGGATGGAGCCCCCCATTGGGCTCCTCACTCATCAGGGAGTCTGCTTCTCCCTCTCCCTCTCTCAAGTAAATAAATAAAATCTTAAAAAAAAAAAATACCTTGTTTCCCTTTCCAAACAGTTTTTAAAGTTGTTTATAGTCAGCCAAAAAGACAGACACATATACACAGCAGGACTGAAAAACACAAGCTGGTTATGGAATGGAGATTCTTAAATTTCACAGCAAGACCCTGAGGCCAGTCTGGGAAAGTTTTCCCAGAGTCCATCTTTAAGATGCCTCTTATTTATGCTGTACATATTACCAACTCTTGAAGTGAATGAACCCTTGCTCCCCAAATATTCAATTTATTTTCAAATACATATTAAGGGGATCCTACTCTAAGCAAGTCATGGTGTTAGGGTTATAATATACAACTGCCATGGTCTCTGCACTGGGAAGGCTCTGAGTTCTTCTTACCATTCTTGGGTAAGGGCCGATGCTCTCTCTTTCGGTTCAGCTGCTCTTCGTGTCCTGAGTGAAGGCTTCTAGCTTCCTCCAGAGACACCACTCTGGGTTGGGTCTCCACCTGCTCTGGCTGAAAGTCTGTTACCTCCCATGCTGCTCCAAGTGGGACCTGCTTCTCTGAGTGCACAGGACTGCTAACCTGGGAAATAAAGCCAATGCCATAATGGAAAGAGGGAGGAAAACAGGGCCAGAGAGGGCCAAACTTCCCCCAGAACGATATCAAAGAATGATAGAAGATGTGAGAAGGAATGAAAATTTCACTCCATTCCCAATGGAGTGTCCAAGGGCATTAGGTGAACAGTACTGTCCAGAAGTCTAGGGCTAAGGCAACAGGAGAGTGCTCTTTATTTGTATACAGAGGGGGAAAAAAATCTATCAAGAGTAAAATACACAGCCTCCTTATTATTAGAATAGATACTAAGTCCTTGCATCTATTAGTTCACAGAGCAGCGAAATAAATTCACTAGTGAACTGAAAATATAAAATTAATTTCCACATGTAGTGTATATCCCTGACCAACACAGCAGCCTGCTGATAGGTCTTTATACGAATGCAAATCCTGAGCAAGGTGAAACTGCAAATCTTGCAGGATTTCATGAGGTTAATGAAAGGGCTGTTGAAAACAACTAGAAGACCATGAAATACCACTGACAAACGAAGATCTGCTGGTTAAACTAGAGAAGAGTGACAAGGATGATGGCATCAAGGGCACATCAGAAGACACGCATTGGACCATTAAAGGACTAGAGAGGACCCTGGGATAACTGATGAAGTTTGTGCTTGCTTTCTTTGCAAAAACAGCCCTCTTGAAAATCAGGCTGCAAAAGTCCAACCTTGCAAAGCATAATGTATTGTTCTCTCATATAATTTTGGGGAAATATTACACCAAAGACGTGAACAAACACTTAGATGCATAATGTTTAACTTCATTTGCAAAACACTATTTCAAGCAAGGTTTTTTTTTTCCTCCTCCCGATTTAATATGAAATTCCGATCCTCTTTTGATTCACTTTAAAGGTCTCTCATTAGTACCATTTCTCCCTCCATAAGCCCTATCTGCAAGGCATTCCTGCCTCCCCACCCCCCTGTACTTACCCATCTCCTTCTAAATACAACTATTTGGAAAATCCTCTCACCTGCTGTCTTAGTCCTCCAGTCTCTTTCTCCAAATGTATTACCAGGGCCACAGCCTCCTCTCCGCTTTCCGGACACTGCTTCTGCGCCCACGCCTGAATCTTCTTGGGTAAAATGGTGAGAAACTGTTCAATCACCAGCAGCTCAAGGATCTGCTCCTTGGAACGCATTTCGGGCTTCAGCCACCGGCAGCAAAGTTCCCAGAGTTTACTGAAAGCTTCATGGGGTCCAGTCACATCCTCGTAACAGAATTGCCTGAAGCATTTGCGAAAGGTCTCGGCCTCAGAGCCCTCCGATCCTTCCAGAGCGGGTTCCGCTGCCCACTCGGAGTCCTTTTCCACCTTCATTATTAAGCATCCCTCAACCTCCAAGGGAGCATCGATCTGAGGGTCCAGGGATGCAGCCATGCTCCAACCAGGTGGTCAACCTCACATCTAGCTCAAAGTAGACTCATAAACCTCCGAGAGTTCTCTGCTTAACGATTTTGAAAGTGGGACGGTAAGGAAGTGAAAAAACGGCAGTCAGCCGCAACAGGGTACTCCGGGTTCATTAATCAAATCCACCCTAGACGCTTGAAAAGGAGAATGTGTACCCTAAGGTCCCAAACCCGGCCTCTTCTCCAAACAAGATGTGGTTTTCCAGGATGCATCTCTTTTAGTGCAATGTCCGAAAGAGCAAGGCCAGGGAACCGGGAGAAAATCAGGGGTACAGAAGGAGGGGTGGGCGGGGGCGGACGGCAGGCCGGGAGGGGGCTGGGCTCCGGGGAGACGAGGCCCCGGGTGGGTGGGGCCGGATGTGCAGGCCCCGCCCGGCCGGGGCTTCGGGGTTCGAGGAGCGAGGCTCGGCCCGCGCGGCGCGCCCAGGCCGCTGCGGGTGGCCTGTGGGGCCGGCCGTGTCCGAGGGCAGCGCCGGGCTCTTTAGGGCCCAAGGCGGTCCCGACAGTCCTCAGGAACCCTCCGCACGCCGAGGAAAGGCCGCAAGGCGGTTCTGCCCCTGAGGGGAAAGAAACCGCGGGACCCAGCTAGACCTCAGAGGGGACGGCCGTCGGCCCCGTGCGCGGCCTGGTCCGCTCCGCCCGCGGACTGCGCGGGGGGCGCTGGGAGCCGTGGCCACGCATGCGCCGCCCGCAACCGCGCGCGGCGGGGTCCGGGGAGGCTTCCTCGCGGGCGAGGGGCTGAGGGAGAGGGCTGCGTGGTGGACTCTCGCGAGAGCGCGCGGCGCAGCGCCTCGCCGCTGAGGGACTTTAAGAATGAGGAGGGGGCGTGGAGAAGCTTCGCGGGGCGGAGGGACACAGTCGGTGGCCGAGCAGACATTTTGCGGGAGAAGATGGAACAGTGTGGAAAAGGAGAGTGGGAGGCTTCCCTCAGCCGTGAAGTCTGGGAGGCGGGGAGACGTCTCTGAGGTGAAGGACACTATTGGGGAGGCGGTGCAAAGGCCTTTCTGCAGCGGAAAAGGGAGAGGGAGAGGGGACTCCTTTGCTTGGCGGAGGGGTCTGTCTCAGAGGGCTCACACATGCTTGAAGCATCGTCTGAGGGCGGCGACTGTCGCGGACTGCTGCCCTCGCTAAGGCGCTCGGTCCGTGATGTGCCCCTGCAGGAGCACCTTAGCGACCCGGTCCCGTCCCCTAGGGGCGGCGCGGGGCCACCCCAACCGTCCCCCAGGGGAGAGCACCTGAGGCGGCGTGGGGGTTCCGTGTTGGTTCCCCGTGGGGATCGTTTGGGGCGGTGCCACCCAGGCCCCCAAGGGCGGCGCGAGGACGCCCCATCTGTCCCCCGCTGCGAGAGGATCTGGGTGGCTCCGTTCCGTCCCCCAGGGGCGGCGCGGGGGTGCCCCGTCTGTCCCCCAATGTGGGAGCACCTGGGGCGGCCCCATCCAGATCCCCAGAGGCAGTGCAAGGGCGCCCCATCTGTTCCCCGCCCTCCTCCGCGGAGCACTAGTGTTGGCTCCATCCGGTACTCCTGGGCGGGCGTGGGGACGCCCCGTTTTCCGGGGGTCCTACTGCCCTAGCTCTGGGGGAGTTGATGTAGCTGAATGTGAACAGAAGGGGGTCTTGGCCCAGAGTCCCCGCTCCTCTCTCCCCACCGGGCACTGTGGTTGCTAAGAGGAGCTGTCTTCGCCTCCTAACTTCTGTGAAACGCAGAGCGATGCCTGCCCGCCCACCCATCCATCCCTTTATTGATGAGGTGCCAGGCAGTGTTGTAGGCACTTAGCATACATCAGTGGGCAAAACAAAAACCCGCGTTCTAGTAGTAGGTGGCCTATTAGAAGAGAAAGCTTAGTAACTTTCCTATCTTAGCAGAAGTCTTAGTTAAAACTCGGTCTACAAATTCCAGCAGCCCAGAAGCTAGGAGTAGCGTTTATGTGGCAGGCATTAGGTGAGGGAGGGTCAGAGAGAATCTATGGGACACCTAGTATATGCCAGGGGTTGTCTTGGCACAGTTTACTTTTCTTTCTTTCTCTTTCGTACTTTTTGAGTATCTGTTTTGTGCCAGGCATGATGAAGGGGGTGAGCAAAAGCAGGATCCATGCCACTGTTGCACTTCCAAGGTTGTTGGGAACGCCCACATTAATCAAATAATCAAATAAACTAAGGTACAATTGTAACTGCAACAGGTACTACCCAGAAGAGGAACATGGTGGAAGGATCTATGTATATTAGAGGTATATTAGAGGGATTTGACATAGTCAGGAGGTCTGGGTAAGTTTCTTTAAGAAGTATTGCTAAGGATGAGATCCCAAGGAGGAGTAAGGGCTGGTTAGGCAATGTCTAGTCCTCATAAAGCCCCATAAGGCAGATCTATGCCTCCACCTTACAGTTGAGAACACTGAGATCTCAGCGTGGTGATGTAACCACCCAAGGTAACTTCAGGTTAGTGGCAATTCAGGATTCAGATTCAGATAAGAAAATGGTCCTTTATGTACTCATTGGGCCGTTTGGTGGTTTTAGGGGAGGCAAGCATCACAAGCAGCTCAGGGACATCGGAGAGCACGGGTCACAAACTCAAGCCTGCAGAGCTCAGGCAGGTAACATTAATGAGCGAAGTAGGCACAAAATAAGACAGTGGGGAATGGTGGGGACTGCAGCAAGCTGGAGGCCACATTTTCTGCCTAAGTGAAACAGCCAGGTGAGATCCACACACTTAGCAAATACATTTCTGTGTTTCTCCCCACCAGGATGTTAGCTCAACGAAGCAGGACTTTTTTTTTTTTTTTTTTAAAGCTGGATGTGCCAGGTGCTTAGAGCAGTGCTTCACAGAGTAGGCACTTGACCTCTGCTGCCCATAGCTTCTGAGTAGTTCTTGCCATGTGTGCACACTTTCACACATTTTGAAGCACTTTTACATTCCTTTTCTCATTTTATCACCCACCCTCTCTTTTGGCTCCGTAATGCCCCCCCCAAAATATTTAGGTATGTCTTCCTTTTGTACCTCTCCACACTCTTCATATTTTAGCTCCTCTCCATCTTAATGCACTTGGCATTGTATCTTAGTTCCCTCTACTTATTTAGCCCATTTTATATTTAAACAGTGTTTTTTGTTTTGTTTTTGTTCTGACTTAGAACTTTAGTGCATTGACCTTCAGCCCACCATCAAAACCACCTCCCACACTCAGCCTCAGGTCCTGCAATTCTAGGCCACCCAGCTGCTTCTTGTCAGGGGTGGTGCATGAACAATTTCATTTCTTAGAAACTGCTTTCCTGAAACATCTTGCTCCTCAAGAAAGTGATCATCTGCAGACATCTGAACTTTCTATTGCATAACATGGACTTCCAAAAGACAAAATCTAATCTGTGGATGATTGACTGGGAAAGTTAAAGCCTAACCTCCTCACTTTCCTCTTGGAGCAGAGGATACTGGGCCTTGTTCATTATCTTGCAGATGTAGGATCATAAGATCTTTAGGAGTAGTTTGTTGTCTTTTTTGTTTGGTTTGGTTTGGTTTGGTGGCCTCTCAATAACACACGCCAGTATTTTATTTTTTTTTTTTTTAAGTAGGTCCCATGCTTAGTGTGGAACCCAGCATGAGGCTTAAATTCACCACCATGAGATAAAGAAGATCTGAGCTGAGATCAAGAGTCTGAGGCTTAACCGACTAAGCCACCCAGGTGCCCCATCAAATATAAAAACATAGAATTTACGCTCATATTCTCATCTTCCGGTTTTAACAATTAGCAACTCATGGCCAATTTTGTCCTCCCTATGTCTCTACCCACCCACCCTAATCCTGGATAATTTGAAGCAAATCCCAGACATCACATTATTCATTGGTAACTATCAGAATGTATCGCTAAAAGATAGGGATTTTTGGTTTAAACATAACTTCAGTACCATCAAATGCTTCCTGTTAACATCAAGAATTCCTTAATACCATCTTTTAAAAACAGTTACTTTTTTGAAAGTTGGTTTACAAAGAAAAAGGGGTCATAGATGCTGGGTGGGTAAAAAGAACAGATGTCCTCCACGTTTTCTAATTAGGTGTTTACATTTACTTTCGAGTGAAAATGTTGGTGACTTGAGAAGATCAGATTGTTGAAAAAATAGTGAATCAATATAGGTCAATAAATCTGAAGTATGAAGCAGATCATACTACTTGAGGACAAGTAAAGAAGAGTGGTTGTTTTCATAAGACTTTGTCCCCTGAGTTGACCCACATCCAGGACCACTGTCTTCAAATGATCCCTAGAGGAATGTTCACACCAGTCTTTTCTTAATAGTGTATCTGACATCGCAGCTGTCCTTGTATAAACCGTTTTAGAGTGACCTTTTACAGACCATTCCTCTGTCCAAGGTGCTGATCCACAAGCCCTTTGGCTGGCAACCATAGGGGTTATACCTTGCTTTAAATCCCATTGGCCAAAAGTAAGGTTACCACAAAAGTAAACATTAACTATACCTTAAATAGATCTAAGAAGTGCTATCTGTGCTTACGCTAAGTTTCTTTAAAAAATCCGACCTAGAGAATTTCCTAGTAATGCCAGTTACCTCTCATTTCTTTAGTGCCCTGAATTTTTTTATCCATTTCTTTAAAAATTGAAAAGTGGACATGAAAAGGCTGAATCTGTATATTGGTGTGCCTATTTTAGATATGATATTATCAAATATGATTTATTAACCAAGCCATAAGTAGTTGAAATCGTTTTCATTTTCACAAATTAAAATCACCTCTCCCTGGTTCATTAATGATGGTCAAATAGCTGACAGAATAACAACTGTTAAAATTTTCCAGTTCCTTTCACTCCACTGAGCAAAACAATAATGAAAAAATTTCAACTATATATGCATATATAGTAGTCAACAATTTTTTTTTTCTGTATATCTATGAGGCACCATGCTAGATACTAGTGGGAGAAGTATAAGACATAACGCTTTTACTCAAAGTATTAAGAGTAAAATGGGGAAAATCAATCACAGAATTGTCATGTATTAGATCTAGTGTCCTTCAACTCTTATTACAGCATTTGGTTTAAAATCTAGTTTTTATCTGGGACGCCTGGGTAGCTCAGTCTGTTAAGCTTCTGCTTTTGACTCAGATCATGACTCAGGGTCCTGGGATTGAGCCCCACATCAGGCTTCCTGCTCAGCAGGAAGTCTGCTTGTCCCTCTGCCCCTCCCCCCATAGTGTTTTTTCTCTCTCTCTCAAATAAATAAATAAAATCTCTTGAAAAAATAGAATAAAAAGAAAATCTAGTTTGATACA